GCCGACTTGGCAACTACTCCGTATTGGGGTTGGTATAATAACGTGCTTCGCGTCGCTCATTGTTTCTCTCAGTTGACAACCTTGAAATGATACTTTCTGCAGGCTAGATGTATGTTATTTTAGTTTCGCGCATTCAAACGTCAATTTTCCATCCATGAGAGTAAAAATCCCGAACTTTCATGGTTAGTAATAATACTCCGTAAGGAACATGCATGAGCTGGGGTATATACCACACCTGTCACTACCTGATATCCAATCGTGCAATGAGGCTTGCATACAAATGTACGACGAATCACACAAAGTAGTGTCCAATCATCTCTTTGCAGTAGCCCACTCGAATCGTTGGCTTTCGGGTATATAATGAGCCTCGTGCCCCAGCCCTTTCCTCCCACCTAGTCAGCCTAGTACCTAGGTACATATCGCGGATTTTTCAAATCACAATGACGAGCCTTTCAAGCACAATTATGATTGAAGATGAAGAACAAGACCCAAACCGGCCGCCTATTGATCCACAAATCCGAAGGATCTCTCCAAATACATCTCCTGAGAACCCGACGATTGAACCAAACGATACTACGAGTGGTAGCATAATGCCGTCCCGCAAACGCAAGAGGGGCGAAGAAAAGCAATCTAACATTCTGGTATAGGCTTCCAAGACACTCTCTTTTTCTCGAGCTAATAATGGATCAGAATGACGCTTTCAAGAAACTGCATAAGACAGTCGATCATGAAGTTGAAAAGCTGCGACAGCAAGCCCAGGAACTTCGAAATGAGCTTCGCCTAGAGAGAGATCGGCATCAAAAATCGCAAGAGGAGCTTTCCCAGCTGACGAAACGACTCATTCTGGACTGCAAAATTTGCTACATGCAGCCAGATTGTTGGTTGACTATGCTGTGCGGGCACATGGTTTGTGAGTCATGCGCAGGAAAACTTGATCCAAAAGTATGCCCTTTCTGTAGAGCAAGCTTTTCAGGATATGTCAAATGCTATCCATTTGCAGGATAGACGTGTATATACCGTTGAAGACCAGCTTTGAGCTCGATGCACTTATTGATTTACTACTTTACAATAGATAACTCGATATTCTCCATTAAGAGCCTGGAAACGCTATGATTTGCGATAGTCCCATAATCTCCCATTGGAACTATGGGTTGCCTGAGAATTTCTGTCTTGGGCGACCGATGAAGCTCAAAGCCTGAGGCTTCTGGACTATATAGCCATAAATTATACATGAATAGTAGCAATAAACACTGTGAAGTCACTAATGTGTGATCAGACGATAAGGGTCAGGACCGTGGATTCCCAGGTCATAATCAATCAAGTTCATCTTTCTCCTCGACGTCAAGGTCCTCCTCCAACGGCTCGAGTTTGTCACTCTACATCTTACAGTCAGCCCCAAATCGCAGGATCATTCTGGTTTTCTTACAATTTCATGAGGTGGCCAGATAGAGTGGATGACCCGTGTTTGTCCATGAGTATGGCGTACCACTGTGAGGTATCCGCGCACAAATCCCAATTTCCGGGCGATTTTGGAAAGAACCCCCATGCTGTAGGCTTGAGACAATCGAGATAATGTGGGATAATTGAACTCGGTGATTTAAATATTATGACGGGGACGAAGCCTGAGGCTAAAAAGAGCTTAGGGAAACTCCATGGAGGTCAGTGATCTCCATATTTATCTCTCCTGGGAGGCGCTTATGTACAATTGCGCTTTTGCGCCTTAGTACCATTTCGCCAATTCCCTATATCCGGTTAACACCGACCGAGTCGAAAATTATTAGTGCACAATATTCAGAATAATGGAATTTTCTCAGGGCTCGAAAATTTCTGGCCATGAATTTTACCATCACTTGAATAATACCGCCTCTTAAAATTTGCGCGCTCCAATTTTTTGGATGGTCGAATATTCCAAACACAAAAGTTTAAAGGGATCTTTTATTCAGGCTCCTTTGAAATTTAAGCTCTATAAAATTCAAATGTCATTATTTTCCCCCCGCTTTTATCTTCTCGCCTCGGAAATTTATCATGTCTCTTTTCCAGGAAGATGTGTTCTAGGAACGGCAGAACTGCTATAAAGGGAGAGCGAAGATATACTTACACCATTTCCAAATAGATAATTTGGGGCCTCGAACTATTCGGGATTCGCATGTGGACCGGCTGGACAAAGTCTTTTAGTCGGAGGGGCTTTCTCGCCTGAACCCTGAGAATTACGTGAAGGTCTCAATAAGCAATGATGTTCTCCAGCAAGCTCTGGCTACCCAGGATGAAACTGGGGCCTTCCTACACGGCCCATTGCACTTTTTAAACCTCCCAAACGAAGTGCGGCTCAATATTTTGCATGGAAATCACCGGATTCTGGCTGTAATCAAGAGGTCTGTAGGATGGTGGGTGGCTGAATTTTATAGCGATGGTAAAACTTTCTACCTCACTTTCATATGTACAATTGCTAACACCACGAAGATATGAGGCCAGAAATAAAATAGTGGATCAGAGATGAGCATCCAAATGACTAGTCATATTGTGATAGTGACATTTACCGGAATGTACGGCACTACGAAAGAATTGGAGATGTTGATTTAGAGCTCAGATGGAGAGGCAGATTTAGTAAAGGAGTATAATATGAGCTTACACGAATGGAGAAAGATTTTAAGAGAATCAAAAGGGCTTTTAATAAGTTATTGCCCTTCTTGGGTTTATGGTAAGCTATTAAACTATCCTATCTTGGCCGATAGCTATTAGTGAAGTGTCCCGAGGCAAGTCTGTCTAGTCATACAAATTTGATATTACTAATATTAGCACCTAGGAGATTACTCGATATTTAGGGTGTGTCCACGATTAGTGGTCATTTATCATGGAGGGCTATCTACTAGAGTTCCTAGACCCTAATACGGTGAATAAGCTTGAGACGCTTATGCCTCGCCTATCTCTACATAATAGGGCCGTAATCTAGGACAAAATGAGGAGACGGAAGATCTTTAGACAACTAGAGTGTGATAAAGATCGTATCTAGGTATTAGACAGAATTACTAAGGTCGGTGGGAGGGTACTATCGTTCTATACCTTTACGAGAGACTTCATTTACTTCGAGGCCTATATGATCGCTCTTAAAGGGTTGTAGCCTAAAGGGCATGGGGGAACTATGTTCGAAGGCTTTTTAGAATGTTATATGCCAGATCAAACTAGTTTATATAATACTTAAGTTGCCGAAGACATATTTGAACGTCGTGACGAAGATAGGGGTAGTATAGGCATATGCTATCGACAGCTTTTCCTTGCTATTATACGTGACTTTCCGTCCCTTACCAGCCTTAGGCCCTATCAAGATGATAAGAACGAGAAGGTTAAGCCATCTAGGGTTAAGTTAGAAAGACTTATCAATCTAGCCTAGTTAGCTGTTAAACTAGGATTTAAGAATAGGGAGATCATGACCTTATATGAACATGCTAGGGCAAACCGATATCGAATCGTCACTAAAGAGTTTCTTAACGAGCTACAGCCTCCGGATCGGTATAATATTAATACCGAAACCAATATGAGCCTCGCTTAGAACGTGTCTAATAGAATTAGCAACGCCTCGGCTATTCGGATATCTATAGAAGAAGTATAGCTCACTATAGACCTAGAAAAGCTACCTAAGAAATTTCGTTATAGTCGACCATCCTATAAAAGGTACCTAAGTGATCGACAGCTCTTATTTCTCGGAAATATCTACTAATAAGAAGTGGTTCTAAGGTTATATATAACCTCCTTCGTAATATAGCGTGATATATTTCTCTCGTTCTTCGGCGAAATCAATTCATATTCCGAGGCACCGGAAGATGATATCTTATATAGCCCTAATTCCCCTAACAATAACTAGTATAGCGATATGTCCGAGAGCTACGATACGCATTCTTAGGGAAACGAAGGAAACTATACAAATATAGATAAGCTCTAAGAACATCATAATAAGCCTCAAGATAACACTAAATATAGCGAACATGAGTCACCTAGGGATTTTGAGTGGACTTTAGGTGAAAGTGTCGAGAGCGACGATCCACTCAGCCAACCATAAGCTCATTAATTAAGAGCTAATTCCTAGGAAACCCGCTCTATATTAACCATATCGAACTTTTAGGCTATAGATAACCAGTTAATGTCACTTAACCCCTCGACGACGCCTTTAGACTTTATTAATGACGTGCTTTTATAAACGGATGATATTCTGCTCTATTCCTAGCAAACCAGGTAGTACGCGCAGCTGTTAAGCAGGCCCTAAGATAACCATTTCTTTCATAGAAAGGCGCGGCTACTAGCACACTAGAACCAGATATTCATATTAATAGGTCGTGATAGGCCACACTTGATCCTTTTTAAAAACCTCTACGATATGGCGGTGCGTGAAAAGCTTATTATAATCGGACTAAAGTATGATCGAATAGGGTTGAGTAGCAATCTTATATCTCGAGCCTAGAACGGTATTTTAAAATTCCTTAATAGTATTAATTTATATAAATGAATTACTTAAGCTCTAATTTCACTATTCGTAGTCATATAGAACCAACCCTCGCACCTTCATAATAGGTACAACTAAGTAGCCTTTAGTAGCTGCATATAATATAAAGATATGCTAGTAAGGGATTAGTGACTATAATAAGTGGAGCCTATTGCTATAACACACCTACAAAAGCGCTTGTATTATTGCTATCGTAGTTGTAGAAATAAACGCACGTAGACTATCGCTACCGTGGGAGAGACTGGCATAAGAAGCCTAAAGGTCATGAGTAGAGAGTCCTGGCTCGAGGACTTTATAAATCATAATGCTAATACACCTAATGTTAAACTGTTCGGACCCTTAATGTCGTTCAAGTAGACAGGCTGCTATATTCGCTGCTTGAATTTAGTCTTAGTCATTATCTTCATTGTTATCACTAACCAATCTTCACGCTACCCTACGATGATATGAATATATTGTCATAAGTGAGGGCTGTATGGCAAACACCGAGATCCCGGTGAATATACTAAAGCCTATATAAGAGCTATATAAATATTAGTAGGTAAAAGAAATATTTAGTATGCTTTTGTAGCTCACCTCTTTGTAAATAAAAGCAAGATCAGACTCCTTTAGTTGAATGCCAGACTGAAGTTGCTCCAATGAGAGGTCCATAAGCTCGTACGCTAGATACAGAGTCCTAGACTGTTCGAATGCATCAAGGAGATTCACGATGTTTGGGTGACTGATCATCTTCAGATGGGACGTCTTGTCGATACCGCTCGTCTTATACTCCTTCATTGCAACTACCATTCCCGGGGAATCGGTGACATAGGCTAGGCAGGTTTTCCCCGGCTGCGCTTCCTCTTTGAACTTTTGATATTTCATCCAGGGCGTGTGGTCCTTGCAAAATAATGGCGTTTGACGTTTGGGGCGTGGCTCATCAGCCTTGGCGGCCCTCTTAACTGGGACCTGGAGCCATCGCGTTGGCAAATGACGTTTTTGGGGCTGACTGAGGTTTCTGGTATCAAATTCACTGTCGCCTATCTCCGCACTTATCGGAAACCTAGTAATTCGATTGTCATTAATGTCGGTGTGGCTCTCTATTTCTCCGCTATCGTCATTGTTGTTTTGGGGGGTAGTTCCGGATGCAATATCCGTACTTCTTGGGAACAGCGTCGACCGATTGTCACTCATAGTTAATCTTTTTTTTTTCTCTTTATGTCTGTGCAGGGGAGAGAGAGCTTAAATCATTCCTGAGCAGTAGCCACAAGGGGGAGATTACATGCTCGCTGTATTTTTAGCACTACTAGCGGAATCGTGGGCGATTCGCCCACGACTATAGTCGTATTAGCGCTACTAATTGATGAATGAATTAGTTCGTCCTTACTCTCATTCCTTATTGCCATAATCGAAAGGGTACAAAGGTGAGGAAAGTTCATCTCAATTATTTATTTGACTATACTACTCGAAAAATCGCCCTGCCTTCTGCCCTCATACGTCCCTTAGCTGTCAATCAAAAGAACCCAAATATGGCGAAAATACATCCTAGCGCTATTATCAATGTTGTTTGCAGCCGGAATTGCGCTAATTCAGTGCCATTTGAGGTGACACTCGATGAAATCGATCTAGGTGATGACGGGGTTGGGGATATGGGAGTGGGTATGGAGGGAGTGGCAGGGGTGGAAACAGGCGTAGAGGTGGGAAAATGGCTCCCGTGGTCTGTCGGGTGGTGGGTCGCCTTGACGCTTCCTTTTGCCCTAGTGTTTGTAGTTGGGGTATGCCACAAAAAGTCAGTCGAAGATGGAGGAGCGCCCTGGGGCCGCATTGTTCGTGTTCGAGTAAGACTCTTCGTGCTCAAATGTGTCAGAGGACTGTGGAAATATCTGGCTGAAGACGTGTCTTCCAAGACTGTAATCGTAGTATATCGAGTCGCGGTGCTTGTCGTTGTTGCGGTAATTGCGGTGGTGCTCACCGGGGTGCTTCTCGGTATTATCGCATGTATGTCATGCCTGGCCGCACTCCCAGCTGCTAGAAAACACACCTGAAAGTAGGCTAAAGTAACGAAGAGCAGCATCATGTCTTGAGAATAGATTCACCATTTTGCAGAGAACTTTAAGAGGTTTTAAGAGAAATATAGGTAAGGAATATCATTCTAAAAAGTGGAAAATGTTCAAATGTTTCTTTTCTACTTTCAACATTCGTAACATTTCAACTATGGTACTATTATCCTAGTTCATAATATAGTACGTCTCGAAACTGGTGCCACCACCTTGCACTTTCGATTGTTTCTCGACCCCTAGGTGGCTGCGGGATTATCCTTTCAAGTGTTAGGTTGTGAATTGCTTCGTACTTTGAATTTACCCACCTTGGAGAGCACACTATCTTGTAGTTCATGGCCTTGAAAGCCCGACAATAGCAAGTTCGCAGTGTGTGTGGGCAGCCCCCACAACGAGGATCAAAAATAAGTGGAGAGGGACATCGTGGTCCGTGGAATTATGTCTGAAACATGGGCATAGCTCGAGTCATAGTGGATGATATATAAATAGCGTTATCATTGAGTGGTCGGACAATCATAGATATGATCCGCTTGCCTGGGCGAACCGCCCACGATGGCCCGCCCCACTTTGTGACGAGCCTTATCATCTAGCACATTTCTATTTCCGGGCGGGCCGCCCTCGGCAAGGACCGACCGGGGAACCAATTCCCTCTATGGGATATATGATATATAGTCGCAGACTGCCGAACTTAGGCCGTTCGACTGCATGATATGTCAAACCCAGCTAATAGAAAACGTGCTCTAGAAAGGACGAGGTGTCGGGAAGACCTCGCAAACCACATCAGTAGGTATGCCCCGGCGAAGACGGAGGACATTGCTAACCAAGAATAAAGATAAGGGACTCGGGTTGCGCGTGCGACCGTCAGAAGTCCGCCTTCACCCATCAGAAAAAGATGCCTATGCTTGGCTTTCTAGCAATGCGACCCGTCATTTGTTCGACAGGCAGCTTAGCGATATGTCGACGAACATGTATATTGAGTTATCGAATGGGTTAGAATATAGAGATATCCGAGCAGTTCACAACGAAGCTCACTCGCCTTGCCCTTCCGATATGCGGACAAGTATCCACGATCTTGAAGCAGATACCCACAACCTTAAGAAGCAACTATAAGACTCTATACACACTATTCAAAAATTGGAAACCGAGATCGAGAATTATAAGTATAGGGAGGCAACTTTATTATCTGAAAACCGTCGCTTACGCTAGGCATTTATTATTTACCTTAGAAAAGCTCATAGTATTGGCCGGTGCCTTAGAGAAACGGAACGGCAGATTCAAGAGTTTTTAAATAGCATGAAGTTAAAAAAATAAAATTGTAACCAGCTTTATCTATAGAACCGTGACATCTCTTCTATTTGTATCATCTAACGAGATACCTAGGGCCTCGAGAAGACGGCTCTCTGACTCCGAAAGTCTGTAGGATACCCGTTGCAGATATTGTCGAAGAAGGAAACCGGCATCCTACGTGTCTTTCGCCAGCTCTAAAAAGGGGCTTTCCCTACCATGCTAGACCCTGGCTTTAAGGAGTGCCTTTTGAAGGAGGCGATATACCTCCCTCGTGTCCCTAAAAAGGCCTATAAGGGCTTCCTTTGCCTCCTGATGCTAAGCTAATTCTTGACGAAGGCGTATGATTTCTTGTTAGAGATCACTAAAGTGAGGTGTATTCACGTTCGTTAGCGCTTCTAAGTAAATTAGAAGATACTCGGTGTTTAGCGTATACACGCCATCCTAAAGGATATTATCTAGTGTGTTAAGTGGTATACTATCTTCCGGCTGGTTAACGTCTATTACGAATAAGATTATAGACTTAATAGTGATAGGTTATAACTATATTATATAGGATAGAAAGATAGAGAAAAATAAGCATCCTTTATATAATAGCGCCTAGGATTAATACTAGCCAATAAGGCAGTCTTTTAGCGGCTCGCTCACGATCGCCCCACCTTAGTCACGACGAAAGCTTAGCGGAGCTAAGATAGTAATCTGGCGTTAAGATGGCTACGTAGCTGGAATCCGCTGCCTAGAAGGAGGCAAAGGCTTAAAATCATTATAGGTGTGAGTCTAGGGATATTATATCGCCTACTATAAAGGTTAATTAATAGATAAAGGGATAAAGAATATAGATCCTACCTATTCTAGAGCCGGAATTTTATTATATATTTTAAATATCCACTATCGATCGGATTTATTAACTAATACCACTATTACTCTCATTCGATATAGAGCGTAGAGCTAACGAATCTTTCTAAAGCATATTCTTCGGCGGCGGCTTTCACTAGAGGGATCTATAGGTTACGGTATTATATAGAGTTGACCTAATAAAATCAAAAGTCTCTAGTGGCGATTTATATATTATATACTTTAGGTTATCTAAAAATAGCTTACTATCTTATTATCGTATCGCCTACGGGTATACGTATATACGTGGTTATTTTTAGTTAATAGTCCACTAAGTCTACACGCTCTTACGTCTATAAGAACCTAATACTAGTTTCTATAATTAGATAGAATATTATCTATATCGTTAGGAATTTTCACTTATAGAATAAGTATAACTAATCCCTCTACTCTATATATTATTATAATTAGGGGGCTATTACTCTTATTTTTCTTATAGACTAATATAAGTCGCGCTTTCAACTTTATCCGAAGTTCGCTAGCCGCTCCGGCGTAATAGGTAATAGTGATTATCTTAAAGTATCTCGTCTATCCGCCTATTATAAGAAGAAGATCGAGAGTCTAGCTACTCTTATAGCTGATTTATTAGTCTAGTAATATAGTTAGCACGTTTATATAAACGTATAGCCTAACTAATATTAGGATTCGGTTAGGGTATATAGCTATTATAAACTTATTCCCCCTTCTCCTAAGTGGTCGATTAAATTTTCTCGCCGATATCTTTAGACTTTTAATTAAAACATTTACGGGTATATATAGAACTTTAGGTATAATATCCACTCTATAAGGAGTTCTTTATATATCCGTTATAATACACTAAGCTAGATAGCACCTAAAGCGGAATCTATAACTTTATAGGCTACTAGTAAGAAGATTTAATTATTCTTTATAAATCGTACTAATATTTACTATAAAGGCATTTTCTAGTATTACCCTTACTATAATTACCTATCTTCTTCGGAGGTTTATAATAGAGATACTATCTAAAGTTTACGGAATTGCTACCCTTCTAGTTAGTATAACTATTTTATACCACCTAATATATTCTAGGAACTTCCTATAATTAGGAGTTCTAATTTCTAGCGTCGCTATTTCTCTCCTCTTTATACTTCGATAGGTATTACTTCTTATTCGGAATATTAAGTACGTAAAAATCGTATCTCGTATAGTTATTATTCGGATAAAATATACTAATACCGTTCGAGTCGTAATCCCTATTAACCGACTATTCCGGATTTAACCTAGAATAAGTATTTATATTTAGATGCCTAGTGTTAGCTTACGCTCTACTCTCTAGATATATTCCTTTCCGATATCCTAGTAAGAGAACGATATAAATAGAAACGCTATAAGTATTACGCTACTAGCACGTAAGGAACGGGGCTTTACGTAAAGACTAATAGATTATCCGAGAAGCGAGTTCTTAATATAGTTAGATAGACCGTATAGTCGTCTAGAGGGAATCGTAGATTATAGCCGCGTTCTTTTTATTAGCACTAGAATTAGAATTACTTTATTACTATCCTATATTAGACTCTCGGTTAAGAGTAATATTAATAACTATATAAATTGCGATATATTTATTATATAGGAGGTTGATTATAAGTATAAATTATCTCCCGATATTTTAACTCCCTTTTTAGATTCTAACGAAAGAAAAGTAAATCTCGACTAGATATATAACTAGATAGATAAGCTCCTTCGGAAGGATAATAGGGCTTATATATATCGAAATAATAATAATTTAAAATTGATCTATACTAATAACACTAGAACCTTTATTTCGCGCTATATATACTATCCGCCCGACCTACTTAGGACACTCACGAAGCGTAGAATAGTAAGCACGGGAGAATTTTTAGGCTATATTCCGCTATAAATACTAAGGACGCTATACTAAATAACTTTTTTAAGGACGGAAGAAAAGGGTTAATTACCGGTTAGTGTATAGAAAGCCCC